CTTCTGTTGCTGCTGCTGATGCTCTTATATTATCTCACATTGGTATTTCCTTTATTCACATGACTGTTGAGTTCTTGTTGCTGCACTTTACATTTTATTCTGTTTTTAAACGATATTGTCCAATTTTATTTAGTTGTGTATTCTTATGGGCTGTGGAAAGCATTATGCAGGTGAAGTTCAAGTCCTGGTTTGTAAGTTTTTTGATTTTTATACTGAAAAACTTACTTAATAGACCATACGATGGTCCTTAAGAGACATTTATGAGGAAGGGAGATCTAAGATTTCGTTAAACTTTAAATCCATCTTTTTAAACCTTACTTAAGTTCCATATCGAGTTAATTTAAGTTTCTATGACATGATTCATGTCAACTAGGGTCTACTCCGACCTCTGCCAACTTTCAATCTCCCAAGACCTATTCAACTACCATTTTTCATCATAACAAATAAAATGATTATTTTTTTACTTGCTCTTATTTTCCATTCTTAACTATGCACTGCTTTTTTTTTCTCAGCAGATATAAAAAATTCACATTCATTTTACAGTTCTCATATCATATCATGTCGGGACAAGAAGAATAAAGCAAAGAGTGAGATAGAGAAGAATGAGAACAAGAACTGAAAAGAAAAGAACTCATAATATGGTATGTAGAAAAGATATTCATAAACAGCACATGAGACTCAATGTGTATGCATTCATAAAACTCATATTCCAATTTAATATCTGGTCACATTTTTTTTATATATATATTTCGTTCATTTTCTCTTTTATTCCTTTTATTCTCGTCTCATGTTATAATGTTAAATCGAAATGAATTGTGATGACTTGTAAGCCAAAAGCAGTGTGGAAGAATTGGGGATATTTTGGGATGACGTCAATTTTTTTTTCAAAGTTGGGGATGGAATTATAGACGTGAGTCTTTTCATTGATGTAGTTCAACACCCCTTTTCAAGAATATTTTGCTCTGCAGACCTAAGTTTGTGTCGTCAGCTGCTCATATTCACGAATTAAGCAAATACGGCCCTGCTGCACCACTAGAGCTGTCTGACACTTCAAGTAAAAACAGGATTTTCTCAACAAACATCATTTATGAACGACCCCGTTCAAGGATAAAGAAGAAGACAGTCAACGATGATGTAGATGAGGAATTATGGGAAGAATTTTGGAATGCTTATGAGAGGCACACAAGCAGACAGTTTATGTTTTCATCTTTCGATTCTTACTTTATTTTATTTTATTGTGAATCTCGTTGCTTCTGGTGCTGTATACACGAAAAAAAAATGTAGAATAAATTATTGGAGAAAATTGCTTTCGTAAACATTAAGACAGATAATTGAAGCTTTACCGAAGCTTATACTTAAATTTATGTTGTGTTGGCAAATTGTATTTTTCACTTTTCCAGCTATGGACGGATGTCAATCCCTTTTTTTTCACTCTGTGCGACAATTTTTATGCTCTGGTATTTTAATTTCTTCTTCTTGCTCCCACTTTTTTTATACTTTTCTGTCTCTTGTCTTCTCAGTCAAGGATTTTTTTCCATTAAAAAATTGCAAGTGAAACTATCGTGAAATGAATGGCAAGGAAGATATGCTTGTGTCGTAATAATAACATAAATCATGAATTTTCTTCTCCTTCTCGGGGTTTTACTTCACTTTCTTTATGATATAAATTTTGTTCTTTTTCTTTCTTGGAATTTTTACAAGTTTTTGGGACTCGTTAGTAGGTGTGGGTTCATAGCTTCGTCAAGGTCTGGTTTCTGGGGCTAACCGAGATCAATATACTCTATTATCAGGTATGATGTCTTGGATAGCTTTAGAAACTGGAACAGAGAGCATCAACAGGAGATTTTAGAGGACTCCTCAGAAAACAGAGAGCAATAATAAAGAATTCTTTAATAGATCGAGTTACAGCAAGAACCCAAGGCATCCATAACAAATATGACACTTTCCATATCTTAACACTCATGTTATAGCTGATCATCTCAAAATTCACAAATCAACCCCACATAATTCCAAATACATTCAAAAAAAATATCAAAATCCACAAAACTAAATCTATTTCAATCCACAATTCAAACAGTAAATCCACAAAGCAAACAAAAGTTCCAAACTATCATAACAACCTGCATATCATCATATAATATAGATACTATAGTACTTGATTCACTCATTCCTCAACAATATCGCATCTCCTCAAATGCTCTTTCTATAATACACATAATGACTATTTTCTGGTTGCTCCAAGCATGCAAGATGAGACGTAAGTAGTATGAGTAGGAAGAGAAAAGGGATGCGATAGGAAAGAACTGCTGCTGTTATTATTCCCAATCTTTTTTTTTTCCACAGCAAGCAGTCGAGGATGAAGAGAATGGAAAAAGGAAAAATTTTGCGGGTAAATTTGTTACTCAATTTCCTGTGCTTTTTACAACAATGTCTCGTGCATCGTATGACAATTTAAAATCATGCTCCATCTCGAAGACTGAAGCTACTGAATGTCTGTAATAACTAATAGAAAAGCTTTATACAAATGAATGAATTTATAATCAGCTCATTTCAATAATTTAAACAAACACAAATCTATAATAGAGACAGCATTAATTTATAGTCAAGACATTAATGATTTTTAAAAATCGTGTGCAAATAAATCACATTAAGTCCTACACTACTATTGAAATGGGTACGCATTTATGTATCAAATAGCATTAAAACTAGTTTGATATGCATAGAAAAATAAGAAAATTATCGCGGGTAGCGCATCTTAATTAGTACTGACACCTATTAGACTCGCTTATCTTAATTTAAAATGAAAACAGAAGGAGGAGTGGAAGATGAAGAAATGATGCTGGCTGGAGGATAGAAAATATATTTAAATGAATTACAAATTAAATACAAATTTATTCATCATATAGACAAGATTAAATTTTGCTGATAGTTTGCCAATTGGTTATTATGGAATCGAGAAAATTATTTGTTTGTTGGGGTCGGGGGAAAGTTTTGTGCATCAAGACTGTTTTTTGGGGTGTGGGGGCATCCGAGGGGTCACTGGATGTGTGTAATCAAAAATCTGCCTTTCAAAATTTAAATAAATTGTTGTCGAGACACTGACCCCCTCCTCCTGCTGCTAGAGCTCTAACTTAGAATCTAAGCAGTAAGTACCTCAGCTAGCTTTTAAAAACTATCCCAAAGTTTTGAAAAATAAAACTGTTTCATAAGTTACAAGACGTCACTTAAGAAGCTACCCCAACAGAGATTTAATTTTATTTATACTTTTTTCAGGCTGGTTTTTATTTTTATTATAAAAATCTGGGAATGATTTTTATGTGAAAACAATTTAATGCATGTTGTGGTGATTATAGATAACAAATATGCAAATGTTGGCAATTTGCATTAGAACGATTTGATTGAATCGATATTGGTGCTTTTCTGTGAATTTTATTAATTTTTTAAAGCATCTTGTTCAGGAAGTTTTAATATAATTTTGAAACCCCACTGGAATTTATTGATTTTTAAGGAGTTCTGGTAGTTAAATTGGTGATTTTTTGATGTTTTTGATTGAATTAACAAGACACCTGAAAATTAAGAAATATTAATCAGATTTATGATTTTCATGGGATTTTTAGAACAGTTCCTGTATTGGATGTGTTGAAAAAGACGGTAGGGTCCTTAACATCCCAAGCTGGCAGAAGCTGTCAAAGGATAGAGCAGGCTTAAGACGATCTTAATCACGGCAATGAGCCTACGTGCACCCCAGCCAAGGAAGTAAGTAGTTTGAGATTTTTATCGCAATTCTTAGTTTTTCCTATTTGATTCTTTTATGGCGATGCACAGTTCTTCGTATACAGATGCAGATGCACAACGTAATAATTCACAGAATTTATGCCACAAATGTAGATCATTATTTTCAAAAAAAAAAAAATATCTCATACCTTACTCCTTGCTGGAGGTGACAATCTCAATGTCTATTGAAGAAAAAACAACAAAATCCACTCAAATTTCAATTCGTCCCAAAAAGAATCAGATCTTATCAAAAATATTTCATGTTAAAAAGCCATCATCCTATCGCAGATTCCAAAAAAGGGTATTAAAAAATGAGAAATCACAAACAAGAAAGAATCTCACAAATGAACTCAATTAACAGCTCACAAAAAAGTGTTAAACCTCATTTTACACATCTTAAAAGTTGCTTTTTTTGCAGCTCCAATCAAACACAAAAAAAAGAACATGAAAAATTTCATCAACAAAAAAAAATTCACAGTTCATTTTAATTACTCGAAAAGAAAAAGCTACTCAAGAAGCTGTCAGTAGATTTCACGATTAAATTGCTCAAATTTCCACTCATTCCTCTCGTTCTCTTGAATACCACAAAATTATCATGACAAAATCTCATTTCTCAACTCATACTGTGAATAATTTTTATATATTCTGTAGCTCTTCTTCGCTCCTGCCTCAACATACATAAGTGCAACAAAAGTTTTGCTTAACATGCATAAAGAATGAATATGACAAAACATTATAACAACACAAATATATAAATTTATATGGAAAAAAAAAATCCACAGAGCAGCAAAAAAGGAAAGAAGGAAGAAGAAGAAGATGAGAAAAAATAAATTCTGTACTTTTTTGTGCTCAACAGAGATAAACTCGTTGAATACAGCAACAGAAGAAAAAAAATATAAGCAGCATCTCGTTTTTGGTTAACAGGATGATATGAGAAGCATAAATGTATGAAAATGCTCGTCGTATAAATGCGAGGAGATTGAATCAATGGTGATGATAAAAATCACTCTGCACTCGAAATTTAAATTTTAAAAAATTATTATTCATCCTCGCAGAAATGCGACTGACCTGACTTGTTGTTGTTTTTGAATTGTGTGAACTTTTAACATATCGAGGAAATTTATGAATTTGTGTGTGGATAAAATATGTTTAAAATAATTTATGCAAGTTAGAAGTCGGAACTGATTAATAATCACTTAAACGCATTTTAATTTATTTCAGAGCACCTTTCAGGCAGCTCCAAGGTAACTTTATTGTCGTTATTAAAATTGCAATTTCTAAATCATAAATCCTTTAAACTTTAAATTGTTCTGTTTAGCTGATAATTAAGCATTTATTCCATATTGTCAACTCCAATCCATTTTAAGACAAGATTCTTGACTTTCTCCTTTGTTGCTCTCATTTCTTTGCTATCATTATCAGAAGTTGCTCCTAAATCACTAACATGAGCTGATAGTGGGATCTTAAGTGAGGTTGCTGACTCGTTGAGGTCTTCTAGAACTGACATTGGGTGCCTATTCAGAAAGAAAATTAAAAGATTTGATAAAGACCAGGGGCGTAGCCAGGAATTTGAAGAGGGGGGTTACCAAAAAATTTTTGTTCTGTTTCATTGGGGATTTGTCCCCAAAATCCACCACCCTCCCCCCCCCTGGCTACGCGCCTGATGAAGACTCAATATTGTGGATATCTCAAGACAATGCCTTAATGGTGACACAGAATTCCACATCAGAGTTGGTTTCTAAAATGTATCAATTCATTCTCACTTACCAAGGATCAATAGCTCCATTCGTAAACACCACATTCGTAAGTTCAGGTCCAAAACCACCATAAACAGCATTAGTTCGAGCAACATTAAATTCAATTACCTTCCTACTAAACTTATTGTCATACAAATCATTGCAGATTCTATAAAAATAATCAACGCCATAAGTGGAACCGAATATTTGATCTGTAGATGTTGATGTCTGGAACCATGCGAACTCTGCACAAGTTTGGTATATCCATTGTCTCATTTGTTGATTGCCTAATGATCCCCAAGTGTAGTTCGAAAATGTTTCCATGCTTTTTGTGTAGCTGAAATCTAAGCACTCAGCGTTTCGATTGCCAACTAGTTGCTTAATTCCTTTTGATACCAAAGCACTATCTCCACGAACCCATGATGCAAAGGCTCCAATATCATCAGTTGAATTTCTTGCATTTTTCATTTGTGTGCATGCATTCTGAATGTTCTCATTTCGATGGGTTTGCACAAGTCCAGCAACAATATCACTAACTTCATAGAAGAAGTGAGGAATATCAATCGGAAGTTCAAGTTCCTGACATAAAGCAAAAGCTTCTGAAATGCGTGTTGTATTTTTCTGGTCAACAAGCTCTTCCATATCATCAAAGGCGTTATTTATGATGTCTGTGCATTCATCTCCACCAATGTCTTGAATAGCTTTAGCCATGACTTCTTTGTATTCGTAGAAATCGACCTAATTGATAGAAAATTGCAATTATTTTGGAAAATCATACTTTTTGGGCTCCGGAGGTTGAGTATTGGTATGATAAAGTTAAACATACCCAACCTTCTGAAACTATAATCGAAATACCTTAGCAAATACTGGACCTGATGATGCAAACGACCCAGCAACGAGATGTGGATACTTCATTCTCATCCATGCAGCCATAGTTGCTATTTTTAATGAATTAGTATCAAAAATATCAAATCAGTCATAAAGCATTCCAAAAGTAACAAAAATTACACAATTCAGTTAATTTGATTACAGCGCGGTAATCTTAAGTGGCAAACTGATAAGAAAATATTGTACTTACCGCTATAGCTTGCGCCAACAAGAAGGACTTTGGATTCTTCCAATCCAAGTACTGTTGACCTAATATATTCAATAAAATAAGCAACATCAGCAAGCGCTTGATCAATTGACAAATATTTCAAGTTCTCTGTCTTTGTATCTGGAGTTGGATGACTTTGTCCATAATATCGATGTTCAGTATAAAATAAAGCTCCTTGATTTTCCTTAGCCATTTCATGAATTAAATATCCCTCCATTATTGATCTAGAAGAAATTGTCCATTCTCCACCAAGATAGATGAAAATCGGTCCATTTGGTTCCAAAAGTGACAAATCCTGATAATATCTCATTTGCCATTTCCGAGTATCTTGAGGATTAAAATTGTCAAGTCTTTGTTCAATCCATTCTTCAGTTGGAGTTGCAAATTTTCCACTGGTTTTTGAAACCTGAAATACAGGCTCCTGATGAGTATTTGTGTATCGAGTAGAACCGAAAAATCCACTAGAAAATTTACAGATAATCAGCACTACAAAAAGTGTCAAAAATTTCATGTTGTCCGTGGAACGTATAAAAGTAAACTAAACTTTTTTTTATACTAATTCATTTTCTACGCCTTGTTATCAACTTATCAGTATAGTCTGTAACATAAACATCTGTTAATACATTTCAATGAGGCTTATTGTATTGTATTGTTTCGAAATTTGTATTAAAGTATGTACTTACAACTACTCAGTGGCTTTCTTTTGTTGATAAGTTAATTTTTTTTCTAATCTATGGATATTCACGAATGATTGCTTTTAGAATTCAAAACTCAAAATGAACGAAATTCAGAACTCAACTAAGAATCAGAATCTGACGCTTCACACCAGAGGTGGTCAATATAAGTGTCGTGGTACGTTGACAAGTCTAAAGAAAGTTTTTCATAAGCAACAAAGGAATTTTATGCTGTAAAATATGTCGTATCGTAAAAGAAAGGTTGAGCATCACTGCATTATATCAATACTAGTTCGTCGGGGTCAATAAAACCTCAAAACCAGTTTGTTAGAGCTTATCTTTACCTACCACAACTTTCTATACCAAGCACATCTTGACAGACAATTTATGAAATAAAGTCAACACATTTCAACCTAAATGAACCTTTAACAAGTCTCTAGAGACACTCAGACATATCATAACCCATAATCCACATTCCAATCCTCAAGAATCAACAGCATAAAAAAATCCATCGTGCACATAGTTAACATGAGATGTAAAGCAGAGAAAAAAAAACAGGTATGACGAGATTTTATTTTTTATTTCACTTTCGTCTCGATTTATTATAAATTTAATGAGTTTATTTATTATTAAATGTCCAATGCCTCAATGCCTTTAACTCTACGCACGCGTTCATTACATGTTGATTGCACACATCAAATGCCGTAAAATCAGTTCAATAATAATTCGTTATACGTATCAACAATCTCTCCATCTCACTTACTTATCTCATTCCATCTCAGCTTGCTGTATTTTTCGCGGTCTTGTGCTTGAGCATATACAGAAATTTGTAAAGATATGTAGCTATAGTAATAAAAATCATGAAAATCATTATTAAAGGTTGATTGTCGTTGTCAATATAAAATCTCTTTTTTCCACCTTTTGCCATTTACCACCCACTTACTCATCTTCTTATAGCTTGAAATATTGATTCAAACTCAATTTTCCTTATTCAGTGTAAATATTTGAAATTGTTTGAACGAAAGATTTTACCATGGCAGTGCTTTAGGATTCATGCGAGAGAAATGGCAAAAAGATGTCACGGGGAATGAAGGAAAGGATCTTTAAGTGAATAGAAAATTGGAATGCCGAATGTCAAGTCATTAAGCAACCGCAACTGATGGTTGGAAAATGAAGAGACTCAAAGATTATTGAAAAGTGAGGGAATGTTAATTTTAGAAGCTATTGTGGGTGATGGGAAGGATTTTGCTGATGCTTTTGTTTTGAGAAATTGTTGAAATTTCAGAGAAGGTTAGAATTGACTTTTAAACTGATTGAAATTGGGATAAAATTGAACTATTGAACTAAACTCATCGAAATTGAGCTAAACTTACCAAAATTGAACTCAACTCATCAAAAAAGAACAAAACTCACCAACATTGGACGAAATCTCACCAAAGTTGAACAAAATTTCACCAAAAATTAATAAAACTGACCAAAATTGAAGAAAACTTGAAGAAAACTTGAAGAAAACTCACCAAAATTGAACGAAACTCACCAAAATTGAACAATACTCATCAAAATTGAACAAAACTCACCAAAATTGAACTAAACTCACCAAAAATGAATAGAGTTTACCACATAAAAAATCCATCCTGACCCCATTCAAATAACAACTAGTCAAGTGACTCAAATGAATGAAAACAACAACAATGTAAAATTAAATGCACTCAATAATCCTCGATAAACGCGACGAAAATAAAAGAATGAACCAGAGCCAGACGCTACATAATAAATTGACATCAAATTATTCGACGTTAAAGGTTTCTTTCAACTTCTTTTAAAATAAGAGCGAACGAGAGAAATCTCTGACAATTTTTTTTATTTCTGCTTATTTTCTTGTGTTTGCACAACACAACACAAAATAAAGCACAACAGAAAATAAGTAACGAAAAATAAAGAAATATAACAAAATTGTATGCAGTGTGCGCGCACAGTAATGCAAGAGAAGATGAAATTGAAAATGCGAAAAATAAATAATAATTGTGGATGAGGTGTGGAATGTTGGGGGTTAAGGCGCATTTTGACCAGCTTTGAATAGGATGTGGATGCAGTTTCAACTAGTCTATTGTCACAAAGGTCTTTAGGAACTAAGGGTTATTAAACTAATGAATGGAGTGCATTTAGTCCAGTCACTAATGACAGTTGAATTATTTTCTTATGCTTCATTTCCAAATTTCACCAATTCAACACATACTGTCCTCTATCCCACCCCTAAGTCCAAATAAAAGCAATCATTTCAAGACCAGCAAAACTCTCAAAGTAATTTATAAAGGTCGTTGTTGAAAAGGCACACTGAGGCCAGTCGGTGTAATCTGTATGTGCCATACACTACAATGTGACTATGTATTTCACATTCGTATAGATGGAATTGAAGGAATTCTTATTTTTTTTTGTACCTTCTTACTTCGCTTATTTTCATATTATTTTATTTAATATTTCAAGGTTCTTGCCGCACGATGTCGATGTACACAAAACATGAAGAAAGAGAAAAGAAGGCACAAAAAAAAATAATTTTTATAAAGACTCACAATTTGCGAAGAATTAAAAAGCATTTCGGAATATCAAAAAAAAAAGAAGTGTGAGAGTGAGAAAGAGAGATGGAAAGACGTGAATCTATTTTTATTTGAGAAATTTTCTCAGCAACTCTTTCTGAATGAGCCGTCCGCTATTCTTCCGCAAAAAAAAGCACTAAAATTTGCTTTATATAATACACGCTGTGTGCAATATCAGTCTTTGCTTTCCTGGTAATTTTGCAACGTCACTCGTACACTAAAAAAAACTTCAGTGTCGCAAAAAGATGAAAAGCATACGCGAGAAAATATCATAAATTTTATTTATATTTTGCACTTTTTGTATTAATTTTTTTTTCATTATTTTTATTGTTATTATTTCGTTTAAGTCTCACTAATTTGCATATTTCTACATATGTGATTATTTTTCAGTATCGTTTTTTTTGGCCATGACCATAATCGTCCAGACTGAACAAATACAGCTACGAAAATTATTATTTTGTTTATATAAAAAAATATGTGAATCGTTTGAGACAAATAACGTCAGAGACGACGTGCGAAATGAATTTTTTTTTTGTGTAAAATGTTCTCAGATTTTTTATATAGGTAGCTTGCCTTAAACATCAACTTAATTTTTTTTCTGCTTCATTTTAAATAGTTTTCATGTAGTTTTGCCAACCGTAAAATTTACTACCTTAATTCGTTAATTCGCTTTTGCGCTTATTTAATATTCTTGAGTAATTTTTAGTATCTTTTGTATATTTTTTTTGTGCTTAGTTTTATTGAATTTATTTCTGGTGACACTCATGAGCCAGCTAAATCTTGGAGGCTGTTTATGAATTATCTACATTAATTAAAGGAAAGAAGGCAACAACTTAAGGATGCTAAACTAGCTTGAAGTTTTTTTCGAACTCCTTTTGAAGAAAATTTTACTAGGGTTTTTTGAAAACCTATTCCCAGCCCTACTGACCCTCCGTCGAACATTTCTTAACTAAGTCCCTGCGAAACAGATGTGACCAAGCTCTAAGCCTTGACATCATCGAACAATATTGAAACTTTTCAAAAAAAAGAAAAGTAAAATTTCTAATTTTTGAAAGTGCTAATTGCTTGATTAAAAAAAAACAAGTGGAAGACCAGAGACTAATGGAAAGAGGCTGTTGATAGAGACAGTGTTGCATTTGGTATAGGAAATTACAACTCGGTAGCCAGCGATAGAGCCAGTTTTAGGTGGCATCTGAGAAAGCAAAGTAAGTGAGTAAGTAATTGCTTTTTAGCTTCCTATCGTGAAGCACCCATACTGATTGTAAAAAAATAATTTCTTAAATTTAATAATTTAGATTTGAAATTATAAATTCTAAGGAATCGAACCTTGTGGTTTAGAGTAAATGTTAGAGCTCTACTCATTTGCAATCTTTTCTGTTGTTCGCATAATAACAATCCTCAATTATATAATTTATAAACAAATTCCAAAGTATTTTTAGAACAAAGTTTTAAAAAAAATCCCCGAAAAGATTATTTAAATTCAAAATGTACTTAACCCAAAATACTTCCAGCACTTCTCATAATGTAGCAATTATTTTACGGTATTTTTATTGTACCCTCCATCCTGACCACACTCACTTAACAGAAGCTTAGCTAAGATAATTTCAAAGGATTTTGTGGCTTATAATCTGTTTTTAAAACCACAAACTTTAAATAACTTAGTCAAATAAATTCTTATTTAATTCTCATTATAAAGTCGTAAAACACAAATTTTTTCACTCAATTTACCTTAATTCCTAGAAATACCGTGGGGTCAAGTGCTTAAATCTGATTAAAAATATTAAAAACTTTGACAAAATTATCAGATGTTAAAGAATTCAAGATGTGATGACACAGCAAAAAATTATCAATTAGAGCCTTATTAATTAAAATGTATTTAGTGATTTTTAATTAATTTAAATTACCTGGATGTTGATTGCTGGATTAAATTTAAAGAAAGTTGATTAAAAAATGTTTAAATTTATTTTTAAATTTGCACATTTCATATTCACACAAATTTTCAATTTTAATTTTTTTTTTTTTTATTAAAATGACCCCATTCAGGAGAATATCTTTTTAAATTCCTCCAAAAATGTAACAAAAATAATTCAAGTTAAGCTCATACACATCCTCCAATTCCCTAGCAACATCGACAAACTTTTTATTGATTTTCCAACACACAGACTCTACAACATAGAAATGAGAAAATAGGGAATCATAGAATATAAAATGTGCTTCTCACATCATCATCGTCGTCATCGTCATTCAGTGAGTTAA